GCCGCGCATGCGCGCTGCACCAAGTCTCCCAGCCTGAGCCTGGCTGTGCGGGACTGACCCGCGTTTCGTTGTTCTCTGTTTGGCGTCCTAGGTGATGGTGACGCCTTGAGCTGCCGCACGTTGGCTTAGTGGTTCCCAGCGCTGGAGGCATTCATCTGAAATGTGCCGGTTCCTTCTTGCAAAGCCTTCACTTGCCAAGCTCTCGGTGCGGGTCCTCCAACACCTGCTCTGTGAGCCAGTGTGTCAATTTCGGGGTCTCGGGGATCCGTCTGGGAGCGATCACCCGTGGAGGAGGGTAGGACCGTGAACAAGTAGCAAGGGACACCCGGCCTTTTGCAACTCTGCACACTGACCCGCGAAGCAGGTGCACGTTGTGCGTCCTCTCCAACAAGACCTTATAAACAGATGGAGCTTATGCTTACTGGCGGCATGCCTCATCTTCCCTTTAGAAAAGGCTTCCCTCTCCGTTTGCTACATGCACGACTTGAGAGCGGAAAGATTCTTTAAAGGTCATCTAAATACATTTTTTTTCCCAACAGGGGAGAAGAACGCTCAGAGGGGTTGGATGTCTTATTTTAAAGCCACACAGCGTTTTAATGAAAGTGTCTGGGTCCAATCAGTCGCGATTGTTTTCTCCTTGCTACAACGTTTTGCCTTTCTTTTTGTCCATCTTCAACTTAGAGTTCATGGCATCGTTGTTCTCTTGGTAGCTCACAGGACTGTCAGCAACACTGGTCCTGTTGCAAGTGCGTGTACTTAGCACGACTGACCTGCATGCTCACAAATGGTTACGATGGTAACATATGGGCTAAAGAGATAGTTCTGTTGGTAAAGCACTTGCTGTACAAAGAGAAGAACCTGAGCTACAACCGCCCCCCCCCAATCCAATCCTGATAGCAGGTATTTGTGATCCCAGTGCTGGGGAAGCAGAGACAGAGAGAATCCTGGATCTAGCTGGCCACTCAGCCTAGCCCATTCGGTGAATCCCCAGTCCAGTGAGAGATTTGTCTCAAAAAACAAGGTGAAGAGCAACCGATGAACATACCTGTGGTTGACCTCCGTCCTATAGGTATACACACACACACACACACACACACACACACACACATACACAAAGAGAGAGAGAGACAGAGAGACAAATATAATAATCTTTAAAAGATTCTTAAATAGCGTAGTGAATATTGAAGTCTTGTGCTCGGACATAGTCTCACATCACGTGGTGGCCTTGATGAACCACCATGATAAATGAAATCAGAAACAGTTTCCTTATTCCTTATTGACTTACACAGTAACATTTCAGGACAGTAACACTGATTCTTAGGGCCATTCCAGGCGGTCAGGGTGTCGTGGGAAGCCAGTGGTGCCACTCGATGAGCGTGAGTAAAGAAGCAGGTAGTGTATGGGGGAAACCTTGTGCCGGCTTTATGTATTGCCAGGCCCCATAGCTAAAGCCCTGGAAATGTGCTCCCCAGGAGCTTTCCTAGTCAATGGACTCATCATCCTGTAAAAGCCTGACACAGGCCACACTACTGCTCACACCGGGAGGTGGTAATGACACAGACACAATTGCAAATGTATCAACATGATTGAGTCCCTTAAATGCAATACTTAGCAGAGAATGATACTACAGTGTATGTAAGTGGCAGTGTGTCTTTTAAAAAAGTGGCAAGAATACATTGCTTATAAGAGTGAACACATATGAAAATATCAAAAAGGAACAAGATGGCTGCACACTCATTCTGTGGCAAGGTGACGAATGACTTTCTAGACATAGGGAAGACAATGGGATCTGTATGCAGGAAGAGCTACTATGTGTCTGGTAAACATACACACTCAGAGAGAGAGAGAGAGAGAGAGAGAGAGAGAGCCAACAGTAACATTTTGAAATGTCTTTTGGAGATACAGGTATTATGAAAGTCTCTAAGCTTTTGTGTCTGATATGTTCCACACAAAGGTAATGTCAATATATCACAGACACTGGGCTATGTATGCATGCTCCCTCGGAACACAGTGGGAATGGGGTGACTCACAAGGAACACAGTAGGCATGGGGTGACTCATTCCCCTTTGGGGGAGCAGTCAAGATGGAGAAGTTGTAGGACAGGAGACCCAGAAGGCACTGTTAGGAGCAGAGAAAGGGATCATCTATCAGGAATAAAAACATTCAGATCCCACAGGGATAACTCGAGATGCTGTCTATGTCTCTTCTCCCTCTTCCTTCCATGTCGTAACCACTAATAGAAAGCTTTTAACAAGCGGGAACTTCACAGAGAGACTCAGCCACCTAGGCATTGTTAAAACTGGTCCTTTTCTGGATGAACTCGTTTTGAAGTCATAAATGTTAACTGGTAATGCATGGTAATTTAGTATGACATCTCTACCTGCCTCCCCCAGGCCACCCCCTCACATCCCCAAAGGCTTTGTTTATTAATTTACATACAAGCTGGTCATCTGGAAAAAAGCCACTAGGTTGGAATCCAGACAACCTAGGTTCTAATTTCAGTTTGGCCACTTACTGATTCATTGTTAACTTAGGCAAAGCACGGACCTCCGTGAGACCCACTTTCCTCTTTCCATTTAAATTGGAGACACGCGAATGCTGCCGATTTAAAAGTTATGAACCATAAGGGTGCCATGATGGCTGAGAGGGTAAAGGCATTTGCTGCCAAGTCTGAGCCCTGGACCTACATGATGGGCAGAATTAGACTACCGAAAGTTGTTCTCTGACCCCCACACATGGCACACACATGCCCACATGACAAAGACACACACAAATAAACGTAAATTTAAAACTACACTATTAAAAACAAAAATGATGAAGCATGTAGGGTTTGTAGGACTGCTTAAGCTGTAGGAGAGTCCATTATTTTAGCAAGAAAGACAGTGTGGAAATTTGTTATTTTTGTTTTTGGTTCTGGGATTCATTTTTGATCAGCTAGCTGATGCTCATCAAAATTGCCTTGCATTGTGGCTGCAGGCATGGAATTTTGAACTTCCTGAAATTCTCCAGAACTTACGATCACAGCTACTAGAGCCCTGAGCTTTACGTTTGTTATTTTCATATTTCCCTGTTCAGTTTCTCTCATTAGATTTTTCCTGTGTTTTAGACAAGGGTTTTGAAGCTCAGGCTGGTCTCGAACTCCCGATGTAGCCAAAACTGCCCAAGGACCCCTGATCCTTTTACCTCTCTACCTTCTGAGTGCTAGGATTGCAGGCTTTTGAGCCACCACGCCCAGCTTCATATTTCCTTCTTTTTTTAATCCTTGCATTCTCTGGTTCTCATTACAAGGTGGGTGCTCAGTGCATTTAACTAATTAAATGTGACTGGATTTTTTTTAAAACCCAAATTCAGAGTTATTCTTACAACGGCATGCCATCTGCTGGTTCCCCGGTGTATCTGTCACTCAGTTTGGGGCAGTTCCTCCACGACTCCCTTTTCCTCTGCAGGTGCTTTTCTGCCATCCAACCCGTTGCAAATTCTTATTTCTTCCAATCCTCTTCCACCTTTTGGGCAGTCTTAAAACCTGTCACGACGGGGTTTGCGACGAGGTTTGAGAGCTCCCGACGGACCAGAGTAACATAACTGGGCATGCTCCGTAGGGAAGGGCTGTTTTGGAATACAACCGTGGCAAGCCTTTAAGGAACATTTTTTCAAGGTTGTTGGTTTCAGTATTGGATATATCTTCCTGCTAGCATTCTATCAAGACATAACAGCTCCTCCCACTCACCCTACAGCCACACTTTCTCCTTTTTTATCTCCGTGCTCAATTTTAGAGCCAGCCCTCCTTGGATGCCCTGGCCAATCAAGAGACCACACATTGTTGCCTAAGAGACCCCGGATGCCAGCGACAGGATTTATAGATGGTGATTGGACTGCTGGGAGCGGTGAGGTGGGGGCTGGAAGGAAGCAAAGAAAGCTGCCCTAGCACGCAACGATGGCAACCCCAGAGCCAGAGGCTTGAAGAAGGAGGCCGGCAGCTGAGGTGAGAGCAGTGGGCAGGGCAGGAAAAAGATGGAGATTCTGAGAGAGCTCCCTAACTTCCCACAAGCCTTTCCGGGGCTCTTGGGATTGCAGGCTGCTGCAGTTTCAGTGGTTGTTCCACACCTATGAAATTAACAACCAACAATTACGTGCAGGTCAAACATTAGCTTTAAAAGCCATGCATTACAGCGCTTACTCGGTTTTTAACTGGTTGAATATAAGGTGAATTCGCATTTAAACCTACCCATCCTCTATTTCCTGATACTGTGTGAAATTCCCCGCGCCTGGCAACATTACAGTGTACTGTGGGTGAATTATGTGTTAGCAGAGAAACTCAATCCTCTTCTTCATTGTAGCCTCCAAATGAAACCCTGACAGTCTTGAGTATTTTCTCTGTGCCGGGTTCTTTATGCTCTGAGTTTTGGCGTGCAGTCTCACAAGGTTTAATCTTCACACTGCCCCCTCGCCCTTCTCCCACCAGGACATTTCTTCCTTCCATTGAGTAACACATACTTATTGAAGATCTTTTATGTACCACAGTGATTGGAATTGAGATACGCAGTGTCAGAAGAACACACAAGCCAGAAGGGTTTCATGCTACCGTCCTTACAGTGGTTAGGCTGTCGGCGGATCTGGACAGAGTACAGGAAAAGACGGAGTAAGGCTGAAACAGTTCCAGTGAGCCGACCCAGATTTCATGTTGAGGAGTTGGGGGGATCCCATAGCCATTAGTGTGATTCAAAGTTTTTTTGTTTTTTTGTTTTTTTTTTTAGTTAAAAAGTGACTTCACTGACGGCTCCTTAAAAACAAAGAAACAAAAACTATTGGGTGTGGTAGCACAGGCCTTTAATCCTACCACAGGGGAGGGAGAGGCAGGTGAATCTGTGAATTTGAGACCAACCTGGTCTACAGAGCAAGTTCCAGGGATGTGAATCGAGACTCTGTCACATAACGAAAACAAAAGCAAGGTAAAACAAATCTCAGGGCTCGGACTATAGTTCCATTGGTAGAGGGCTTGTCTAGCATGCTTGAAACCAGCACTGCATAAGTCAGGTGTGTGGTGCACACCTTGGGATGTGGAGGGAAGAGGATGAGACATTTAAGGCCATCCTTGGCTACATAAGCAGTTTTGAGGCCTGCCTGGAATAGGTCCTTCGTTGAGTTATTGTGTAATGGTGATGGTGTGAACAATGGCTCAGGAGGTTTAGAAGGCCAGATCAGATCTTAGAGAGACTCCAGAGACTCCTGCTTGGCCGTTAAACAGAGTTTGGAGCTCTGTTTATAGGGGATGGGGGTCCTGGCCTACTTTCTACAGTTTTATCCCAAGGAACGTGACGTATAATGACAGGCAGTCATTAAAAGGCAAAGAGGTCAACGAAAGCACCAGCAACTTGTGTCTCTGGAAGAGGGTGAGACAGCCTGCTTTGTCCTGTCTTTCGAGTGGTAGTCTATTCTGTGAACTTGTATGTGCATACAAGCTGTGCACACTGCTCATCTTCTGGAGTGGGCGGGGGAGAGGAAAATTAAAAAAGGATAATCACAAAAGACGAGGCAAGATACCTCCGTTGGCTCGCTTCTGCACAACTGTCACCAAGATCTGTGCCTCCTGGCCAGGCCCACCCCCTCCTGGAAACTACGGATGCTCTGCAGAAAGTCTAATCAGAAGCAGTTTTCAGATCCAAGGAACCAGCGGGAAGAAAACAGCCTTGCAGGCCCTGAGGGTGTCTCTGAGCAAATCTGTCTTATCTTCATTCAGAAACGGTACCCAGGATACAACAAATAGCTTGCCACACACACTGGGAAGCAAGGGAGCTTCTCAGCTTAATGCAGAGGTTTTTTAACCCGGGGGAAGCAGAATCTTAGCTTCCTGTGTTTTTTTCTAGGAAGGAGACTCAGCCTTTAGCTCAGAGGCTTCAGGACTCTCGAAGGTTTTAAAAGAGCTGCTGTCTTAAAAAGTGGGAGGGAGTGATGCTGGCTCGGTGACAAATACCAGTAATCCCAGCCCTGGGAAGATAGAAGAGGTGGGGATCTTGAGTTTGAAGGCGGCCTGAACTTTATACCAAGTCCCTGTCTCAAGATAAAAACAAGCAGTGTCCAATTTTTTACCAGGGCGGATCTGAGCTTGGTGGAGGTGTTTTATATCTATTGTTTGCCTGCTCACCTGCACCTGTATTTCTGGCTGCTCGTTAACGATGCTGCAAGGAAACCATTTCCTGTACCTTTTGAAACCTAGCGAGACCTGGAGTGACTTAGATAATTAAACATTAGGAGCTGAGAAGAGCCGAAAAGCTATGGCGGCAGGGTGCAACCAAGGGAAGGTGTTGATGAATGAACCTACCAGGTTGTAAAATATTGGCTCCATCTTCAGCTGTAACTTAAACTTGAGTGAATATTACATGTCAAGTGAGGACCTCAGAGATTTCAGATGTGGTGAATGGAGAAATCCCATCTCAGCTGAAAGGTAATGCATTAAAATTTTTTATGCATGTCTTTAAGGCAAAGCCTCATTAGCCTATGAAGATGACTTTGAACTTCTGGCCTCTCGCCTCTGTCCAATGAACACGAGTATTACAGGCATGTGACACCATAGCTGGTTTATGTGTCAGTGGGGTTAAACCCAGGGCATCATGCAAGCTATGTAAGCACTCTCTACTAACAGAGTTACATCTCCAGCCCAATTGGTTTTTTCTTCTCTCTCTCCTCTCTCCTCTCTTCTCTCTCTCTCTCTCTCTCTCTCTCTCTCTCTCTCTCTCACACACACACACACACACACACACACCCTCTCTCCCTCCCTCTCTCTGTTTTTTTTTTTTTTTCAAGAAAAATTTCTCTGTGTAGCAGCTCTGGCTGTCCTGGAACTTACATTGTAGACCAGGCTGGCCTCGAACTCACAGAGATCCGCCTGCCTCTGCCTCCTGAGTGCTGGGATTAAAAGGTTTGCACCACTACTGCCTGGCTTCCAGTTGGTTTTTTAATTTGTTCAATATTTAATGCTGTAGGGTCATGTACGGAGCCCCAGATCAGGCATTTATAGAGTCACCTTGGCCACAGTTCTACCTGTGTGGACAAACCCATCTTCAGAGAAAAGGGAGGGTAGAAACACTGGGGGCAGGTTCTGAATCTTCGGTCCATTATAAAATATTCCATCATGGCTCACCAAAGGACAGGTTTTGCACACTCTATAAGTGATAAGTTCTTAGAAAGACTGAAAGAGGTTACTAGTTACTCAGCCCACCTGCTCATCAGCCACCTTGTCAAGACCTTTTTCTCTTTTCCAAGTATCATTTTGGAGGTACACATGCATAGGACTTAAAAAACTGCACAAGAGCCAGGCGGTGGTGGTGCATGCCTTTAATCTCAGCAGAGGCAGAGGCAGGCAGATCTCTGTGAGTTCAAGGCCAGCCTAGTCTCCAAGAGCTAGTTCCAGGACAGGCTCCAAAGCTACAGAGAGACCCTGTCTTGAAAAAAAACAACAAAGCAAAACAAAAACTGCACGAAGTGGGGCTGGAGAGATGACTCAGAAGTCAGGGTGCTTGGTGCTTTTGTAGAGGAGCCAGGTTCAATTCCCAGCACCCACATGGTGGTTCACAACTATCCATGACTCCAATTCCAAAGGAGCCAATGCCCTTTTCTGACCTCCTCAGGCACCAGACATCCACACATGCACACATGTAGGCAAAACACACCCAATAACATAAATAAATCTAAGAACTGTTTTTAAATTGCAGGGCCAGTATTAAAAAGAAACTGCACAGGGTCAATTTTAAAAAAGGTTGCAAAAGCAGAAACAACGAACAAATGAAGAAGAGGAAAAGGGCAGGTAGCTTCTGGGGGACCGAAGAGCAGGCACAGCATTGCAATCTGCTCAGGTCGCTAATGTTACCCTCAGTGACCACCTCATGCAGAGAAGTTCAAGCTCATCTGTGACGTGGTCCACTCACCATCTGTTGTCAAGGAAGGGACTACTGGTGGCCCCCAAATGAATAAAAACCCCAGCAACTACACATCTCTAAAGTCAGCCAACCAGCCAGCAAACTGCACACCCGTGAGGAAAATAATTCCTCAAGGAAATTAAAGTACCTTAATTAAAAGTAGGTAGACTGCATACCAGATACCTAAAACCAGCAGATTTCCCCCAGTAAACACATCTGTCCATCTCTAAAGGCGTGGTCTTGCCGACTACTTCAGTCTACCCCTCGAGTGTGTATTAGATGGGAACTCTTTTACCTCCATGCTAAGAGTAGAGGGGGAGACCTAATTACACAAAGACAAAAATTAGGTGTTTTGTTTTGAGACAGGATCTCATAAGATAGCCATAGCTGGCCTGGAACTCTCTGTGAAGAACAATATGGCCTTAAATTAAAAAAAAAAATCCCCCCACTTCTGCCTCCCAAAAGCTGGGTTGAAGGATGTGGTTTTTTGTTTGTTTGTTTTGTTGTCGTTTGTTTTTGTTTTTCCATACAGTCTCTCTCTATGTAGCCCTGGCTGTCCTACAACGAGCTCTGTAGGCCAGCCTGCCTCCAACTCAGAGATCCTCCTGCCTCTGCTTCCTGCATGCTTGGATTAAAGGTGTGCACCACCACTGCCCAGCTAAGGGTGTGTTTTATGTTGCACTGTGACTAAATTTGAAGCATTGCTCTTTCTGGCCAGTAAACTTCGTTCTGAGCTAAGAATGATTCTGAACGTCCCCCATGATCCAGTGGTCTGATCCCTGTACAACTCACTATCTATATGATCTTGGGCAGAGTGGGTAACCTCAGTGAGCCTCATTTTTTTCCAATGGTCCAAGTAGCTACAACTCACAATTGTTCCACCAGCTCATTGTAAACTTGTACTGAACATACGTATAAAGTCTTTAACATAAGCAAGACTCTTAGTAAATATTCTCTCCACCCATACCCTCTTTCAACATACAAAAAAAAAAGTTGTAAATTTTTTTTTTTTTTAGTTTTCAGAAGGTTTTATAATTCATTTCTCCTGATAGGTGTAGTCTTTCTGATGGAAGAATACCAGGTCCTTTCATGATGGCCTTTGCACCTCCAAAAAGCACTGATGGCTCCAAAATGCAGACAAAGATGAGCACCTGGACACCCCTAAATCATCAACTTCTGAATGACCAGGTAAGCAGTCAGAGTATTTTATTATTTGGGTCCGGGGGGGGGGCGGGGGTAAAATCCTGATAATCAGAATATGAGCACAAATTGTTGAAGATGGTATAGTCTTGGAACAAAAGACAAAACAACTTTATTTGTGTCCTTGTATGTGGACAAGACTAAAAATAGATGAGAGTTCTGCCCAAGGGAAAAGTCATTGTTCTTTCCTGCATTATCTGTCCTAGGTGTGTCTTCTTTTTCCCATCACTGGTTCTTCTTGGAGCCAACAGAATTTGGGGAGGGGATGAAAGATGTCTAGGAGGGCTTCCCCCCAAAACCAATCCCCGAGTTTCTGGGTAAACTTTTAGTCTATCCATTTAGTGAATACATGCATTTCAGCCGAGTACTCGTGGTACTGGTGTTCTCCTGAGAAGTCTATTTCCCAGTTTAATTCTAGGGAGACCCAAGTGAAATACACCCAGTAAGAAATTGCAGCAAGTGGCTGGGGTGTGGGAATGGCGGAGCTCTGGGGTATTGTATTCCTGCTTCTGCGAGTTGCAGAACTCTGATCAGTCCCTGAGCATCGGGACCACACCCGCTTGGCAGCGACGCACAATCAGTTTCATTGTGTAAAACTGACCTCACTATCTTCCCTCTCCACACCAGTCCTTCCTCCAGGTGAGAAACCCCACTTTATACCATCACGAGGCCATAAAAGTCTCCCCTTTTCCTGCCAGGTGTGGGATTGGATCCTTCACTCCAATTTACAGGCTAATAAGTCAGCCTGTTGCGGGCGGAACAAAAGGCAGCACTATCTCACAGTAAGGGACACAGGGATCTGGGCAGGGACAAAGAACTTCGAAGCACAGCAGAGCTATCAGGGTGAGCATTCCATATCAAGCCTAAACATTGGCTCTCTCCTGGTTGACCTCGGCCAGCTGAGTGATGCCCATTACCCAGATACATGCCTAGAACAGGGTGATTTTCCTGGCAGCTGAAGACCAATGAACACAAGGAATCTAATCTTCATAGTGAACAATGACCACAAAGTCCTCCCTCTAGGCTGCCTTCCTTCAGTGTAACTTGGAAAATAGGCCTAAGTGAAGAACGCTCGGTGCCTTCCCTTCTCAGCATGCCCAGACTCTTAGGATAGGGACGCCGTGGAGTAATAGCTCCCTACACACCGTTGCCTCCATGTCCCATTTGTTCTCTGGGTCTCTGAGTCTTCTCTCTAGATCTAGTCCAGCCCAGCTCCACGTTCTCAGGTCCCTTCCTGCCACTACCCTTGCCGCGCACAGTACAGTAACTCCCTGGCTGTTGTCACTGCACCCGCTTACTTTTCCTCTATTAAGGCTCCAGAGAGATCTTTCTAAATACCAATCCTATTAGGTGAGACTGAAAATGGGATTTACTCCAAAGAGCAAATTCCAATCCCCCACGCATCTCTGAGGTCCCTTCAGGTCCTGACCCCCAGCCAACCTCCCAGCTTCCACCCCTGTCTCTACTCCCTGACACTTGAGGCCAGCAGGGTGAAGTCCACAGTGCCCTCATCACCTCACTGCTTCCTGCCTCCTCTTTGCTGTTTCTACCTTTTCTGTTCAACTTCGGCCCCTCCAGACTGACATGTGCTCCTTCCCCCACTCTCTGAAGACACAGGTCTGGGTGTGGCTTTCAGAACACAAGTCCAGTCCTCTCGCTTCTCTCTCTCTCTCTCTCTCTCTCTCTCTCTGTCCCCACCCTTCTCTCTCTCTCTCTCTCTCTCTCTCTCTCTGTGTGTGTGTGCGCGCGCGTGCACTTGCATATGTGTAACTACAAGTGTACATGTGCATGTATGTATGTGGAGACCAAAGGACTTCAGCTATTATTCCTCAGGTATGCTCTACCTTGGGTTTTTTGTTTCTTAGTTTGTTTGGTTTGTTTTGGTTTGGTTTGGTTTAGTTTTGGTTTTTCGAAACAAGGTTTCTCGGTAGCTTTGGAGCCTGTCCTGGAACTAGCTCTTGTAGTCCAGGCTGGTCTCGATTCACAGAGATCCGCCTGCCTTGGCCTCCCGAGTGCTTGGATTAAAGGCGTGCACCACCATCGCCTGGCTCTACCTTGTTTTTTGAATCAGGGTCTCTCATAGGCTTATATCTTACCAAGCAGGTGAGGCAGGTTGAGCCCCAGGGATCCCCTTACCTCTGACTCTCCAGGGCTGGGATTTAAACACAACACAACTCGTATTTTTTTTGTTTGTTTGTTTTGTTTTGTTTTCCATTGTGAGTTCTGGGGGATGCAGTTGAGGTCATTGTTTTTGCAACCGCGCGTTTCATCAATTGAGCCCTTCTGGAGCTACTCATTGACTTTTATCATTGGGCCCTTCTAGCTCCTTCCTTGGCTGGAGTTGGGCCATTGTTTCTGCAATCCTAACAAAGTGTTGATCCCTCTTGGCAAAGCCCATCGTTAATCCTGGCTCATCTTAGAACTAGGACCTTTCTCCTTCTCTAATGTGAAGCAGGAGTAAAGGGAAGAGGGTTGCGTAAGAGATTGGAATCCTGAGAAATAAAGTGGAGAAAAACTAAAAGGGAAAAGATCTTAAAAAAAAAAATGACTCAAGGTGGGAGAGAGAGGGAAGAAAGGAGGCCTCGGGAACAAAAGGATGGGAAGAGGCAGATGGAGTCTGGCCCCATAGTGCCAAATGAACGTATGGAAATCTTTTCCTTTCCGCACAACAATTATTTACCGAGCACCTGTTGTGACGCTCGTAGCTCTCCGACAGTTTATATCACAGTTTATCCCTCCAACTTCAGTGTCAGATTTGGAAATCTGTTTCCTCATTGAATTGTGAAGGTTTTGCACATGTGTGGAAAAGTGACTTGAGTTGAAATACCAAGTTGTTGAATGTCTTGATTTTCAGAAAGTTTCCCAGGAGTCTCAATCAATTTGGCCACTGTGAAGAAAGTGTATCTTAAGCTAGGCATGGTGGCAATTTCTTTTAATCCCTGATCTCAGAGGCAGAGGCAGGAGAATGTCTGTCAGTTCAAGACCAATCTGATCTGCATAGTGAGTTCCAGACCAGCCAGTGCTTGTGGATGGAGAGATGGCTCCACAGTTAAGAGCACATATTACTCTTGCAGAAGATCATAGTTTAATTCCTAGTACTCACACGAGGTGGCTCATAACTTCCTGTACCTCCAGCTCCAGGGAGATCTGATGCTTTTGGCTTCTTGGAGCATTTGCAGTCATGTGCACATACCTACACACAAACATGATTAAAATCAAAATTAAAACTCTTTTTAAAAAGTACCTTCATAGTCCCCAAAGCACCTGGATTCTTGTTGTGGGTGGAGCAATAGAGGAAGATCCTTTATTTTGGCAATACTGGGAATTGAACTCAGGGCCTTGCATGCGTGAACCAAGGTCTCTCCCACTGATGTTCATCCTGGCCTTGAGAAGCAGGTTTTGAGATGAGCATCTAGGAATTAACCCCAAAGAAGAGGAGAGAAGGTATGATGGCCATTCTTGCTTCTCAACTTGACTACATCTGGAATTAACTAAAACCCAAGTGGCTGGGAACATATGCAAGGTATTTTTTAATTAAATCATTAAAGATGGGAAGATCCATCCTTTAATCTGGACCACATCTTCTGGTGGCAGCCAGAATAACATAAAGGACACAGAAGGAAGCTTGCTCTCTCTGCCCTCTTGTTCTCGCTAGCAAGCACTTTCCCTCACTGGCATGAGAGCCTCCTTCTTCAAGATTCTGGCATATACTGATGACCGGCTGAGACATCCAGCCTTGTGGACGGAATGACTACTGGATTATTGGACCTTCCGTTGGTAGACAGTCATTGTTGGACTAGCTGGACCACAGCCTGTAAACCACTCTAGTAAACCCTGTACAGACACGCGCAAGTTCTGCTCCTCTGGAGCACTCTGATACAGAAGGGAAGGGCGTGGGCTTGGGGACAAGGAGGAAGGTGAGCTGCAGTGCAATCTCCATGACAGCTCCACTGTCCCCATAGGACACCAGCTGTCGGGATCTCAGGGAGGCCTGGCCATTATAGTTGACACTGCCCTTCAGTGACCAGCTGCTCTCCCCTCCAAGGTCATGACTTTGGTCAAGGCAGCTTCTTTGGGCACCTGGCTGTCAACCAGCTGCCTCCCAGTGGATACTAAATAAACCCTTTCTAGAACCCTTCAGTTCTAAAAAGGATCAATACAAAATAGTGAACGTGGCATGGTTTTACCCTTGTTCTTTAATGGCTTTTGTCACATTCAGTGAAATTTTTTAGAGAAAATACTCATCATTCATAGCTCCCATATTCAAAAATATCATTTAGTTAGCTTCTTGTTTCAAATGAATTTTTTAAAAATATATGCAATTGTGAGCTTCTATTTTAAAAAATAGTTTATTTTTAGTGTATGTGTGTGTATGAGAGAGAGAGAGAGAGAGAGAACACATGCACAGTGCCACATGAAGCCCAGAAGTCATCAGAGTCCCCAGACCTGGAGTTACAGACAGTTGTGCCCAACCCTATTGGGGTGCTGGGAAATGAACCCCAGATTCCGTGTAAGAGCAGCACATGATCTTAATCACTGTGCCATCTCTTCAGCACCCATCTTCTTTGGGGACAGGGTATCATGTAGACCCAGTTGGCCTTGAACGCAGTAGGTAACCACAAATAACTCCGTCCTTCTAATCTTCCTGAATTTACCTTCCTAGTTCAAGAGTTATAGGCCTGTGGCTCTAAGCCCCATTTATAAGGGGCTGGAGGTTGAACCCAGGGCATCATGCAAACTAAGTAAGCAGTCTACTGAGCTACATCTCCAACCTTCCATTTTGTCTTTTAATTTTTGTCTTTCCTCTGTTCTGTGGCAGAATGTAAAATACATAATAGCCAAGCCAGCCTAAAATAAGAGACTCAGGGTTCTAACTTCACAGCAGGTTTTCAGCTGAGAGACTAAATTCAAATTTAGATTACTTAAAAAAAATAAAAGCATCATCAAGGTAGGCAAATGCAGCAGATTACAGAGTAATTTGGGCACTGAGGATTCCAAGGGGAGAGTGTTGTAATAGTACCTATGTTGCCAGCCAGTGTTGTAATTAGAAGGATCGCGTTCCCCACACGCAAAGTTAGCCATGGACAGGGATGGGCAGGATAATTGCCTTGACTCTAGCGATTATTTCGCTCTTGTATATGCATCCCAAAACATCATGTTGGCACACCTTAAATACGTATAATTTACAATCATGAAAAGTGCACATCCCCATTGCTTTGGTGCGTGATTCCCACGCGTCCCAGAGTGCCTGTAAAAAGGGCATTCTGGGAGGCGGCCCCTCGCTGCCATCCATCGATCATAATTTAGGATTTCCAAAGTAGCTCCCTCCTCCACTGCAGTGATGTCACCCGAGGAAATATGCAATTGCAGTGTCAACAGACTAAAATAACAACCAAGGGATTTTTGACTTAACAGCAGGCTGTGGGTAAACTGTGATATAAACAGACTGCAGCCGTCTGTGAGAGAAGAGCCATTTTAATATTGCCATTTCAAAGAGAGAGTCTGTTTTCCAGCTCCTTAAAATTGAAGGCCCTGATTGCACGTCTTTGGAATGAAAATTCACTCCAGTTCAGGGAACGTAAGAATGCAAATTCAAATGAGGACTGACAGCAAAATGATTTGCCCCAAATTATATATATTATATAATTATCCTTATAAGCTATAATTATAAATTATATATATAATTTGTTTGTATATATAATGTATTAAGGGCAGACTCAGCCAGAGTGGAGTCTTCTTGACGTTGAGTCAGGATGTGTGAAGCAGGAGAGACGGTTATATTTGCTCATTGTAACCCCTCTCCTCCTCTCTTCTCTGGTCAGTTTCTCCTGGGTGGCGATACTGTCTGTAACTGCCTGGGATTGCTTGGAGTCTGAATAGATGTTGGTTTTTCCTTTTCCTTTCACTGCTTGCGCTCAAACCCAGGGCCTCACAGATTCTTAGAAAACACACTGCCGCTGAGCTGTAGCCCTAATCCTCCTTTTTTACTTTCTAAGACACAGTCTCACAACATTACCTAAACTGATTTAAACTCACTCTGTAGCCTAGACAGGTCTTGAACTTGTGATCCTCCTGCCTCAGCCTCCTGAGTAGCTGTGATAATAAGCCTGCACCTCCAGGTCTGGCTTAGACATTGTGTTTGCTTTAGCCTGCAGCATGACAGAACCCACTTCCCCCGTCACGCCTTTCCTGATACTTTCTGTGGACTATGCATCTCCTGTCAATGTTACCACGAGTCACACCTTCAGGGAACACTGCGATGGTGCAGCCCGACCCCCCTTTGAAAACTTATTGATGATGTCAAGACCCAGTCTTCTTTCCACACCAGGCAGAGCACAGGCAGAAGTTCCACAAGGATTTAAGGCTGCAGGGGTGGTGGGATCCACCTATAATCCTAGCACTCAGGATGCTGAGGCAGGGGAAGCATCAGTTCCAGCCACCTGGGCTATATAGTAAGTTCCAGGCGGCCAGGATGGAGAAGACCACAGTTATAGTGGAAAACCCAGGGCAGAGTTAAGCTGAATAGTTAGTTCAGTACCAGGGTCCCTCCCTCCCTTTCTTTTCCCCATCCTTCCCTTTTCTTTCTTTCCTTGTTTTTGTTTTGTTTTGTCTTGTTTTTTTTTTTTTTTTTTTTGATACAGGGTCTCTTGTAAGCCTTAAACTTATTATGTAGTTGAAGATAAACTTGCATTGATCCTCCTGTCTCTGCTTTCTTTCCAAGTGCTGGGAGTGCAGGTGTGTGCCATCACGCTTGACCTTTGTTCTTTTTGTTAGCCCAATCGTGCCCCGAACTTTCTATCTTCCTACCTCTGCCTCCTGAGTACTGAGACTACAGTTCTGTACCAACCACCTTGCCCAGCTAGATCTAGTGGTTGGTTTATATTGTTTTAAAAATGTGTACAAAGTTATGGAAGTCTGTCTGTCCTATCTAAAATAAGTAAGTTGAAGAAAAAAGTTCTTTAGGTTTTTAATGATTGTTTTAATATTTTTATTATTTATTTTTATTATAGCATTATTTCAATATTTTTATGTGTATATGTGGGGGGGGTATGTTCTCCCAAGTGCAGTGTCTACAGAGTCCAGAAGAGGGTATCGATCTCTTAGAGTTGGAGTTACAGGTTGTTGGAAGCTGCCAAATGCTCTTAACCCCTGAGCCATCTTTCCAGCCCCTCTTTAGGATTTCTTTCAGCTCTGACCTCCTGTGCTTTCAGAAACCTTTTCATTATTATTGTTTGACCATCAGTGTTGCTTAGAGTCTGCCATGAAACCTGTTCTTGCTGGTTCTGGGGAGCATCTTTATGGGGAGGTAAAATGAACAGAAACTACTAGAGACACAACCAGACACTCTTGCTAGATGTAGTGGTGCACGCCTTTAATCCCAGCACTTGGGAGGCAGAGGGAGGCAGATCTCTGTGAGTTTGAGGCCAGCTTGGTCTACATAGTGAGTTCCAGGTTAGCCAGGGCTGCATAGAGAAACCATGTCTCAAACAACAAAACACAAAAACCAGATATTCTTCAGCCGCTGTGGAGCAGAAGTGGAGCAGAAAGGGGAGGGGCCCTGGGCATCAGAATTGCATCAGCATTGGCGGCTTGGCTTGTGGAGGTATTGTAGAGAAGGATCTCCAGAAATATTTGAATCCAGATTTAGTTTTGTCTCTTCTGTGTTTTCTACATTCTCCTCTATTTGCATGTGCAATCCTGAATTTATCTGTTGTCATTATTATAGGATCATAGCATCCCGGCGGCAGTGATTGGGGTGGGAAGAGGCAAGGGTCCCTTTTATCCTTCTCTAATATGCAAAAAGTATCTACATGTGGGGTGTGAGATTCCTTGCACAGGAGAGTGAAGGCTCTCATGATACTCGTTGAAGCTGCTATTTCAACCCCCATTTCAATATGCCTTTGATAACCAGAGTGTGAGGGTCTGAGAGAGGAAAGGTTGGCCGGCTGGCAGCATGAAGCCAACTTCTCATCCTCCGCAGTCAGGAAGGAGCAAGGTCTGCACAGCCTCTCCTAGCTGGAACGTTCCTGCAGGACTGCTCAAGAGTGGTAACATTGGTCCCCATTTGAAAGCTGACAGAGGGTGTCTGTGTTGGCGTGGGAGACACAGTCACATATGTTCATTATTCTCTCTTCCTCTCTGTATAACTCCTCCTCTGCCAAACATACCCGTGTTGGTCTTCTTCTCTTCGTATGCTCAAATCCACATATGCTCTGAGGCCCAGGAAAATACCAACCTATACTTTCTCTCACACTGTTCTGTAACACCCGTAAGGCCATCAGTCACATCCATTGGAATGTACTGTCTCGGGTACTTGCAATATGCTATACCAGCACTCCGCTTGGATGTGTCAAATGCGTAGGACATGGTTTCTAACCCAAATAGTATATAAGAGCAAACCTGTGCGGACACAAAGTTGTAAGCCCAGAGGCACACGTACAGAAATGACTAATTTTATAATTAGCAAGCCTGTGGATATTCATATATGTAATTATACACTGAGGACAAAAGCAGGACTGGAGAGATGGCTTGGTTAGTAAAGTGCTTGTTAGTTAGTACAGTTTGGCAAGCGTGAGGACCTGAGTTCGATGCCCAGAGCCTGCAGAAAAGTTGCACACAGTAGCATGCATTAAATCTCAATGCCCAGGAGGCAGAGACAATTGGATACCCAGGGCTCGCTGGCCAGTCAGCCTAGCCAAACTGATGAGCTCCAGGTTCAGTGAGAGGCCCTGTCTCAAAAAATAAGTTGGAAAGAAATTAGGGAAGATACCTTATGTTGTTGATCTTTGGTCTCTACACACACACACACACACACACACACACACACACACAGAGAGAGAGAGAGAGAGAGAGAGAGAGAGAGAGAGAGAGAGAGAAAGAGAGAGAGAGAAATAGAACTGTTTGTTCATGTATTTTACAAGTTCTTACATGATTAATATTGAAAAATTTCAGGAGCTCCATTTTCTTATTTGTCTGTGTCAGTTTATGGCCTTCCAAATTTGAGGCTCGAATACTCTTTACAACTCCTTTCTCCCTTCCTACTTCATTTCTCTTGAGAAAAGGGCAATTTCTCAGTGAGTCTTGGTGGTGCACACTTGTAACCCCAGTTCTTGGGAGACAGAGACAGTAAGATCAAGTTGGTTGGGCCAGTTTGGGCTATAAACTGAGTTCCAGGCCAACCTGGTCTATAGAGAGAGACCCTGTCTAAAAGAAAAAAAAGAAAAAACTTGAAGAAGGATAGAAATAAAGAGTAGGGAGAATAGGTTACTTCTTTCCTATGAATTATGCCATGTACAGAAACTAAAAAGAGAGGCCTTGGCTAAGTTAAAAGTAAGTAAAGTGAGCTGGTAGTGTAGCTCAGTGGTACAGTGCTTGCCCAGCGTGCTCACAGCCCTAGGTCTGCGTAAACTAGAAGTGATGGCACCACCTGTAATCCAAGCACTCTGGAAGTAGAGACAGGAAGACCAGACATTCAAGATCATCCTTGGCCTACATAGAGAGTACAAGGCCATTTAATAAATAAATAAAGTGCCCTCTCAGAAATGCAACCTGTCTCTTCATACTCGGTTGAGGCGGTAAATCCCTACTCACTGATCCTTTAACAGTGTTGTTTATAGTGGATATCTTGAGCCACGATGCCCAAAATGACCCTATTTTCTTCTCTTTGCTGTAGGTGTTTGAAGAACGAAGAGCTCTGCTTGGAAAATGGGTAAAGCATTTAAAATTATCCAGGGCTTCTGGGGATATCTGAGTTGCAAAGTACTTGCCTAGCCTGCACAAGGCCTTGGGTTTAATCCCCAATGCAACAAGATAGCTAGATGAAAGAAAGGAAGGATGGAAGGAAGAAAGGAAGGAAGGAAGATAGAAAGAGAGAGAGAGAGAAGAGGGAGAGAAGGAGGAAGAGAGGGAAAGAGGGAGGGAGGAAGGAAAGATGATAGAAGATAAAGATAGATAAATAGATAGATAATAAAAATAAAGATAGATAGATTGATAGATAGATAATAAAAATAAAGTGTGTTTGTTTCTGCACCATGGTTGATGGAGACTGCTTGTTTGTTGCCTGGCCACCCAGACCCTAAATAATCACACAGAAAACCTATTCATTTCAATACTGGTTGGCCAATAGCTTAAGCATATTTCTATCTAGCTCTTACATCTTAAATTAACCCATTTCTAGTAATCTGTGTATTGCCATGTAATTGTGGCCTACTAGTAAGGTTCTGTCCGGTGTCCAGAGTCTGTCTCCTGTGGCAGCTACATGGCTTCTCATTGACTCTGCCTATTCTCTTTCTATATCTATCTGCTTGGAATTCCCATTTTGCCCTATTCTGTGCTGCAATAGTCCCAAAGCAGCTTCTTTATTAACCAAAGGCATTCACAGCATACAGAGGGGAATCGCACATCAGTATCTTATCTGTTTTGGTCTATTCAAGCTACTGTAATGAAAACCATAGGCCAAGTGGCTATTTGTAACATGAAGGGCCTGCTTGTTTGTGTTTCTGTCCTGCCCGGACCCCCAGCTGTTTAGTCGCAGAGAAAAATCACACTGAGATCTCTATAAGTTATAAAGCGGATTGGCCCATTAGCTCTAGCCTCTTACTGGCTAACTCTCACATCTTGATTAACCCATTTTTCTGATCTATGGCTCAGTACCTTTTTCAGTGGGGCAGCTCACATCCTGCTGCTTCGGTGATCTGGGCAGGAGTGGGAGGAATCAACTTCCTCCTCCCCAGAATTCTCCTGCTCTCTTTGCATCATTTCCCCTTCCTGTCTGGTTTTCCTGCCTACACCTCCTGCCTACACCTCCTGCCTGGCCAATCAGCGTTTATTTAAAACAAGATTGACAGAATACAGATAATTCTCCTGCACCAGCTATTTATTTATTTTTGTTAGTTCTGGGATTTGGAAAATCTCAAGATCAAGGTGCTGGCGATGGGTCTGTTGAAAGCCCTCTTGTGCAGCCATCTTGCTGTCTTCTGAAAGGGCAGGAAGCGGGAAAGAGTCCTCTGAGATCTGTTTGATCCTGTTGAGGGCTCCCCCTAGCAAAGGTCCCACCTACTACCCCCATCCTCATCTGCAGCTTAGGAGTTCATGTTTGTTTTAATTTTTATTTAGATTTATTTTACGTGTCGGGGTGTTTTGCCTGTGTGTGTGTATGTGCATCATGTGGGTGCCTGATGCCCATAGAGGCCAGAAAAGGGGTGTATGCCTTTAATCCCAGTACTCAGTGAGGCAGAGGCAGGAGGATCTCTGAGTTTGAGACCAGCCTGATCTATAGAGTGAGTTCCAGGACAGCCAGGGCTACACACAGAAAAGCCTTGTCTTGAAAAACCAATAGACAGGCAGACAGACAGACAGACAGACAGACAGTAAATATTTCAACGTGTGAATGTTTCAGGACACAAACGCTCTGTCTGCAATGTTGCCTTGGTGCCATGTGTACCTAAGGCAGTGCCAGCTCCTTCCTGAGAAGCATGACTGATAATTTCCATTTAGAGTCTCCCTGGAAAACACAACTCATCCATTATTTTAACAGACATAATTTAATCAAAAGCATTGGTGAGCGGATATTGAAGAAAAGACTCAGGAAGGGATTGATGAGAGTCTGTGGAGAACTGAGCTAATGCCAGCCTTACTCACCCCAGCCCAGCAGGGAGCCCACACTCCAGAGAGGGAACAGCAGGCATCCCAGCCAGCTGGTTCTTATATATCCAAGGAAGCCTGGTGTTTCAAGGTCGTCTGGGGGAAAGCTGGAGCAAGAAATCAGGGTGACGAGTCAGGGTAGAGCTGACAGGAGCAGCGGGTGAACAGAAAGGAGCATGTCTCTCCTTCCTCAGTTTCCCCCTAGTGCCTCCCTCTTCATGGGCAGCATTCAACAGAGAGCTAGCTGTCAGCTGAGAGATATGGCTACAGCGTTCCAGCCTCCTGGAACCAGAGCTAGTGATGTGGGTTTGGGTCTGAGAGATGATGTCTCTAACCGCCGCAGTTCATCCACTGGGCCCCCAGCGTCCAGTGTATACTTGAACTTCCGCAGAGTTCATGCTTCTGCCTAACAAGCTACAGCTACCCTTCATCATTGGAGAGGACTTTCTCATCTGTTCCTCTAACGAGGAGACAGAGTCCCAGAGGTCATTACCCATTACTGAGTAATGTCAAGTTATGTGTTTCTGGGCAACAAATTACTTGTTGAATTACTCTACACTCGCAGCTAAATATTTTCTGCTGCTCAAGAGAATTGAAAACATATGGTCATACAAAAACTTGCTCATGAATGTTTATGGCAATGGTATTCAAAATAGTCAAAAGCCCAAACAAGCCAAATATCCATCCACAGGTAAATGAATAAGCAAAACATGGTGTGTTCATATGATGGGGTATTATTCAGCTGTAAAAGGGAAGTATTTCTGATACATACTATAGATCATGGATGAGCTTTTAAGGCATTGTGTGCTAAGTGAAATAAGCCAGTTTCAAAGACAAATATTGTACAGCTCCACTTTATATGAGGTGCTTAGAATGGGCAAGTTTATACAGATAGAAAATAGAACAGAGGTGACCAGGGGTTAGGGAGCTAGTGTTTGATGGGTGGAGACTCTTGGTTTGAGAAAGCTCTGGAGACAGGTGGTAGTGGTGGTTGCAATATAATGTGAAATTATTTAATGCCACTGTACACTTAAAAGCCTGTCATCCCAGCACTTGGGAAGCAGAGGTGAGAGAATCTAGTCAAAGACAGCCTAAGGCTATGCACCAGGTTCAAGGCCAGCCTGGGCTTCTGAGACCCTGCTTCCATAAATCAATCTTCTCCTACTTACCCCCCCCCCAAAAAAAACAGTTTAAAATAGAATGAAATGTGTAAACAGAGGTTTCTCTGTCCCGCCCTGCCCTGTAGCCACTTCTAAATAATTACTCAGAGGCTTATATTAATTATTAATGTTTGACCGGTAGCTCAGGCTTGTTACTACCTAACTCTTACATTTAAATTAACCCATATTTTTGTCTATATTTTGCCATATGGGTCAAGGCTTTTTACTTCATTTTCAATGAGTCCTGCTTGTTTGGCACTGACTGGCATCTCTCCTGACTCTATCCCTCCTCATCTGAGTTCTCAGTTGATTGATCACCTAAGTTTATCCTTCCTGACTATTGGTCAAACAGCTTTTATTATTAACCAATGAGAGGAATATATATTCACAGCATACAGAAAGATCATCCCATAGCATAAATGCGTATGCATTTCTTTTTTCCCAAATCATTTTATCTTTAATAATCTGCTGGCAATTCAAAATTAGAAAAATAAGTGGTGAAATCATTCGCATTATGGTGGATGCCTGTGAGTGCCTCATCCACCATCCTAGGTGAGGATGAGATTGGTTCCAAATGACTTCATGACTCTCAGGCTAACGTATTTGGTTACTGAGTCTCTGAAAGGCAGTAGATGACAGCTGAAAAATTAAATGTAAGGCACCTCAGAGAACAGGGTGCCATTTCTGTTTTTTTTTTTATTGGGGGGGTATAAAAACAAGCTGAGATTAGATAGTGGTGATGGCTCTGTGATCTTGTAACTATACTAAAACACAGTCAGTTGTACATTTTATTTCTTATTTTCATGTATGTGTGTGTGTGTGTCAGTTGTACACTTTATTTCTCATTTTCATGTGTGTGTGTGTGTGTGTGTATGTGTGTGTGTGTGTGTGTGTGGTGCCTGTATAAGGGCACACGTGTCACAGTGCTCCTGTGGAGGTCAGAGGACAACTTTGTGACCTCTGTTCTCTCTTTCCATCATTACATAGATTTCTGAGATCAAACTCAGGTCACCAGGCTTGTACACTGTGGCCCCTAACTACTGAGCCATCTTACTGGCCTTCCTTACTCTTTAAGGCAGGATCTCTTACAAATCTGGAGCTCATGGATTCCACTGGACTGGCTGGCCAGTAAACCCCAGAGATTCCTGTCTCAACCTCTCCAACTTTGGGATTACAGGAGTGTGTGGTTTTACATGGGTATTGGGGGGGGTCTAAATTCAGATCTGGCAAGACAAACCCCCTTACCAACTGAGCTGTCATCTCTCAGACCTTCAAAGTCTTCAAATTTTAAAAGTTTTATTTTTAATTGTGTGTATATGTGAGGGGAACAGGTATTGTAAGACATGGGTTTTATCTCAAGACCAAGTTCTCAGCACAAAGGAGATTTATTTGCCCCAGTGGGACATAGGGCAGGGAATTAGAGACAAAGACAGGAGATAGAGGACTGGGGAGACGGGGAAGGGAACGGGAGAGAGAGGTCAGGGAAATTTGTCCCAGAGTGACAAAGGACTGCCTTTGGATAGAGAGCAGACAGATGTGGCCCATGGGAAACTGGCATTTTATAAAGGGGAAAGGAGAAACCCTGTCTTAGGATGCGGTGTATAATTTTAATTGGGCATGTTAATTAGGTGAGGGTTTTTTTTGTTTTGTTTTTGTTTATTTTTCAAGGCAGGATTTCACTGTGTAGCCATGGCTATCCTGGAACTTATTCCATAGACCAGGCTGGCCTTTAACTCACAGAGATCCTCCTGCCTGTGCCTCCCTAGTGCTGGGATTAAAGGCATGTGCCTCCACTACCTGGCCAAAGGGGGCTTTTGATTACTGGACTTCAATACTTTGATAGCTGTACCTTGGTGGTCAGCCTCAGGTGGAAGAAGTGGTCAAATAAGGGAATTGACCTTGGTGGTTAGCTTTCAGAATGTAAGCTAACAATTTTTAGCAAGGCAGAGGGGTTGGGGGAGAAGGGCAAGGCCTGCCAGAACCATGTTTGCCATGCTTGAGTCCCTTCGTATGTGCACCTGAGTGCAGGTACCCAAGGAGTCCAGAAGAGGGTGTCAGATCTGCTGGAACTGGAGTTACAGTATGAACTGCCTGACATGGGTCCTTCTCAGGAACAGTCAACTCTCTTAACCACTGAACAATCTCTCCAGCCCCATAAATAATTTAATTTTTGTTCATGCACATACACATGGTTCTGTTTGATAGTTAGAATAGCAACAAGCAAAATATCAATGAGAAACCTAAGCTGTATGTAGAGTGCACTGTGGAATTACAGGTACACACCTGTAACTCCAGCACCCCAGAGGCTGAGGCAGGATTGTGAGTTCAAGGGCAGTCTGAGATACACGATGAGACCCTCTCTTTAAATAAAAAAAAAAAAATCCTCTGTAGGGTTATGGAGAGAGCTCAGTGGTTAAAGTGCTTGCCTCAAAAGTATGAGGATAGGAGTTCAGGTTCCCAGAATCCAGATAAAGTTCAGGTGGGTGTCGTCTCTGCCTGTAAGCTAGTCTTTGAAAGCAGAGCCAGGATCCCCAGAGCAAGGTGGTTAGCAAGATAACCCTGTGAGCACTGGATCTGGCTGAGACCCTCACTTGGTGTCTACAGTGATAGGTGGTGATTCCCAGCATCAGTCTCTCTCTCTCTCTCTCTCTCTCTCTCTCTCTCTCTCTCTCTCACACACACACACACACACACACATGCACGCACACACTCCACAAGCTGGGGGAAGCTTACCAAATCACCTCCCTGTCCTTGCCATTCATTGTGAGATTGGTGAACTCCGATAGCTCAAGCTACAGCAACTCTAAACATAGCATGCTCACAGTTATTAAGAATACCCCAGTGAAGCCCAACACCGTGTGACAGTGGAATAAGAGAATTCTAATGGTTCCCCAGCCTCACATCCTCATCCCTTCCTTTTATGCTTTGTATTTTACTGAAGAGTTGATGCAAAAAATAAGGGAGGTTGCTAAATTCCTGCCCAGGGAACTCTGCATGGATTAGCTACTTCCTAGTTTGTCCTAACACCTTCTAAACTCCAAAGGGATTTTTTTTCTCCTGCTGCTCAGTATTCTGAGTCATCACCCCCACCTTGACTTGGTAGGGGTTCAAGGAATGCAAATTCATTTTCTATTAGCTAAAACAAACACAATTAGAAAGGAAAATCCCTGAGGCAAAAAACACCTATCCGAGCCAAATGTAAATTATCCTGGACTTTCTGGATCAGCGAAACAAATGAAGAGTCCATGTAATTATCTTTTTAATCTCCAGGGAGAGTGTTTCTGTGTTTTCCTTTATAGGTTTTTATGATCTTAATGTTCATTTATATTCATTTTAATTCACATTATAATGTGAGTTCATTCTCTTATGTGGCACTAAGGAAATCTGAGGAGCTTACCTTGACTGGGCCATGTCGAGGCACAGAAATGACAGCTTGCTGCTTTTAAAGTGTCTTGCATATCTCTTGTACATAGATTTAACCACTTATCGTTTTTAAGATCTCTATGGCATTTTAGAGTAGTAGGTGTCTCTTATACAATGTACATACACACATGCATATATGTGTATATGTAATCCTCACGATAGTATATAATCCTCACAGTATCCCTACATTATAGTATAGCTATAATGTAGCTATAATGACCCACAATGTATAATTGAGGACATTTTGAATATTACAAACAGTAGAAAATTGAGAGCGAGACCCTGAGTATTCTCTCCTGTCAAATAATCCAAACTCAGAACGTATAAACAGACTTTACATGAGGTAAACTGTAATCCAGGAGAGTTCTGATAACTCTGAATCAGTGTTCGGAGGAAAGCCGAGGAAGTCATCCCAAGATGATTTAAATTGTTGAAAGAGAGGCTCCTTTTGAAGTTGGAAGAGAATACGAGGGCCGGAGGGACACACCCTACAGGGGCATTTCTCACATCTGTACCCCAACAACAATGAATTCACACACATACTGTGAAGGAGAATTTTAACTCTCAGCTTGCCACAACCTAGACTCATTTGAGAAAGGAATTTCAGCTGAAGAGCTATCTAAACTCGACTGACCTGTGGGCATGTCTGCGGGGATTGTCTTGTAGGTAAAACCATTTCCTGAACATGAGCTTCTCTACTGTATCAGACAGGAGAAAGCTGGCTAACAGCCATCGCAGCTCACTCATTTCTCTCTGCTCTTCCTACACACAATTATTTGTTAGGTTTCCTAGTGTCAGGTCATGTGTGCTATGATAAAACACCTCAACAAAAAAAAGCAATCCATGGGAGGAAGGGTTCATCTTAGTCCACAATTCTGGTTATCGTCCACCATAGCAGGGCCATCAGTGCAGTAATTTAAAACAGCTAGTCAGAGAAAGGTAAGTGCATACGTGCATACATGCTCAGCTTTCTCTCGGCACTTAGATAGCACAGGATCCCCTGCCTAGGGAATGGTGCCTCCCACTGTAGGCTGTGTCAGGGTCCGATGCCCCAACATAAACTACTTTTCCCTCTCTGGACCGGCACGGAGGTGCAAGAACAATTGAGACACAGTTCACACAGCAATATCAGAAGGGAGTCCCAGGCTTCGTTCATTCTTGAGGATCACCCGCGTTTATTATTCAAACACCCTTTATTCCCCAAGGTAAACCAAGGTGGAAGCTCATTAATAGTCTCTTTCTTGGGGTAGAGGACAGCAGTCATGTCCAGACTCACTAGCTTGGAATTCACATCTCTTCCCAGGAGATCTACATAATAACAAAAGAGGAGGAGCGGTACATCCTGAGCCTATTGTTAGGTAGCAACAGCCTGTCTAGAGGGATTGCTTTGGTTACCAACTATGGCCCGAGAACTTGGCTGTCACACCATCCAGAAAATATGGGCCTGCAAGGCTGGATCATCCCACATCAATTAACATAATCAAGACACTCCCCCAGGGACATACCCAAATGCCAACCTGAGCTAGACAATCCCTCACTGAGATACTCCTCCAGGGATATGGCCAAATGCCAACCTGATCGAGACAATCCCTCAGTGAGACACTGTCTCAGGGACATACCCAAATGCCAACCTGGTCTAGACAGTCCCTCTGAGATACTCTCCCAGAGACATACCCAAATGCCAACCTGGTCTAGACAACCCCTCAGTGAGACTCTCTTCAAGTGGTTCTAGATTGTGTCAAGTTGACTATTACATATACACTAAAGGTCTGGGCCAGATGCAGTCTGTCCGATGCATGCGGTCTGGTCACGTACGTGGAAATGCGAGAAAGGGTAAGTCCGTGGTGAAATGTGGAATTTACCAAACCGGTATAGCAACAAACGCATGCTATGCGCTAGCAGTCACTTACTAAACTCACTTTCTGTGCTGGTCTCTTCCTCACGATTGATCAGAATCAGCATGGGACTCTCTTACTCTGTTTCCTCAGTTTGACAAATGGACAGACTCTCAAAGGAGAAGAATCCTTACAGGCCTTCTAGAGCGCTGCTCCCTGGCTCAGCAGAAGTTCTGCTGTCGAAAGCTGCAGGAAAGAATCCCAGCGGAGGCCCTGGATTTTACTACCAAGCTGCCAAGGGTGTTATCTGTCTATATCTTTTCCTTCTTGGACCCCCGGAGCCTTTGCCGTTGTGCACAGGTAAAGGCAATGGAATGGCACATGGCATTTTGTTGGGGCAGCCTTAGAAAACTTTGAGGGTGGAGTAACCTAAAGATGAACCCTCACGTGCATGGGCATAAGACGAAGTGATGGATTTTATTCTGCAACGTTTGAATGAATGACCGTTGGCTATTTTTTTTATATCTAACTCTGTAGACTTAGAGGTGTGTGTGTGTGTGTGTGTGTGTGTGTGTAAGACACCAGGAGTGTCAGATGACAAAGCTGCTAGCAATTATACACATATACGTGGTTCCTCAAGAGAACAGCATTGCCACCTAGCACACAACTACAGTAACAACCTAGACCAGTGGTTCTCGACCTTCCTACTATTGCGACCCTTGAATACAGTTCCTCATGGTGTGGTGACCCCCAATCATAAAATTATTTTTGTTGCTATTTCATGGCTGTAATTTTGCCACTGTTATGAATCATAATGTAAATGTCTGATATGCAGGATATCTTATATATGACCCCTGCGAAAGGGTTGTTCAACCCCTCAAAGGGCCGCAACCCACAGGTTGAGAACCGCTGCCCTAGACCGCACAGTGCAGGGTGCCTGTGTACACAGCTGTAATAGCATCCCAGACTGTGCAGTGCAGCTCACCTGCCAATAGAAAAGCACAAAAGAGGGCGTCCATGAGACGTCTACTACGAGGATGAGAGTGACAGATACCTAAGCTCAGCTGCGTAGCTGTGAACTCAGCACTTGGAAAGCTAAGGCAGGAGAACCGTTGTGAGTTCAGGGCTATCCTGGGCTACAGACAGAAAGAAAGATAGGTAGAACGGAATGTGCCAGTGTACCATCAGGGGGCTGGGGGGGGGGGGGGAGAAAAGAAGCCAGTATTTCTTACAAGTATTCTTTACTGTATGGAACTGAAGTTAAGGAGCTGGAGAGATGGCTTAGCGGTTAAGAGCACTTGCTGCTCTTGCAGAAGAGCCAGGTTTAGTTCCCAGCACCCACATGGCAGCTCACAACTTATCTGTAATTCCAGTTCCAGGGCCCTGACTCCTCTTTTGGATTGCATGCCTATACATACACACAGGCAAATACTCCTACACATAAAAGTAAAAATAAATAAAGGTTTAAAAAATATTAAAAAAAATAAACCGGAGTTAAATTGAGATATAACCCTGTAGAGCAGGTGTGGTGAGGCATACCTGTAATTCCAGAACACCACAGGAGAATCAGAAGTGTTTCATTACCGAACTGCGCCTCCGAGGCAAATGACAGCAGTTCCCTGGGGTCCCTCAGTGCAGCTCCGCGCTAGAGGAAAGGAGGCTGTGAACGTGAGGAGGCTGCTTTGTTTTCCCAGGTGAGCTGGTACTGGAAGAGCCTGGCTGAGCTGGACCAGCTCTGGATGCTCAAGTGCCTGCGCTTTAACTGGTACATCAACTTCTCCCCAACGCCGTTTGAGCAGGGCGTCTGGAAAAAGCACTACATTCAAATGGTGAGAGAACTTCACGTCACCAAACCCAAGGCAAGTTTGAGACAGAAAGCGGTAGCAAATTCTAGAACTTGTGAGTCAAAGATCCAGCTTGAATGTAGGAAATGAGTGGGTCAAAGGACATACCCACGACTCCGAATGTCTCGTCTGAGGCTTCATAGACCTTCTCAGGATATTTGTGTTACAGAGAGCTCTCACCTGATGCCCTCCAACCGCAGCTACCTGCAGAGGTCAGGCCTGGGGATGGGGAGTGTGTGCTCTTCTCTGATTCCTCACCCTGATTTGTGTGCCAGATAGTTCTGACGTGGGAATTCTGCATTATATTCGGTAATCGTCAGCATGGGCCATTAGAATTTACATATTTATATTTGTTATGATTCTATAAGATGACCAACCAAGTTTGTTGGTTGGTCGGTCAGTGGGCTAATTAGCTCAATGTTTGAGACAGCATCTCCTTAGGTGGCCTAGGCTGGCTTTGATCTCGAGAGCCTCCTGCCTCAGCGTTAGGGATGCTGTTACTATAGATATGTGCCAGATTGCGTGAGTTTTTATGTGTTAGCTATGATGGGGATCCATACTAGGGCCTCATGCAAGCATGATGGAGTTTGGATCTCCAGTACCCACACAAAAAAGCCAGAAGTGGTGGAACACACTTGCAATCCCAGCACTGGGGAGGTGGAGAGAGTTGATCCCTTAGGCCCAGCTAGCTAAGACAAATGGGGGAGCTCCAGATCCCAGGAAGAGACCCTGACACCCAAGGTTTAACTCTGTCCTCCATAATCATGTTCACACATGTGTTCACAGACACACACAGACACACACACACACACTCATTTGATGTGAATAGTCACAGAATAAAAAAAAGAAGAGATATGGGATCATTTTAATACAGATATGCAAACAAGTTGTTTTACAAGATTCAATGTCCATTCATGACAGAATTCCAGAAAATCTACTGGACTATGTTCCCATTCAGACTGGGAACATAGCTCAGCAGTGGGCCCAGAGCTTGCCTGGCATGTGTCAGGCCCATCAGTTAACCCGACTGCCAACACAAAAGACTTGAAATGTTAGGAACAAAACTTGCTTACGTCACTGTCGTGGGTTTCATTATTGTCAGTTTGTTAGAATACCAAGCATTGTGCTTTTCAGAATTAATGCTTTTTCTGTATTTTACTCTTACTTATACTTAAATACTTCCCAGTTTTTTTTAATTATTCCATATTATTTTATTTCTAATACCATTGTATTAATTGCTTTTATCACTGCTGTGGCAAAAGCAACTCAGAAAGAAAGGCTTATTTTTGGCTCTCGGTCTATAGTGGTGGAAAGTCGTGACTGAAGGATGTTGAGGTGGTTGGTTGGTGGGGTGTTCTGTGTCATGTGGGTCGGTTGAAGAGAGAGGTCCCTCCAAGATGAAATTTCAGGCCTGTGTGGCAGCAGGAAGGTCGAGCCTCTAATGAACTGAATCCAGAACAGCCGTACAAAGGCCGATTTGATTGTCACACAAAGTTGTTTTTTGGGTAAAGTATTTCCTCATACCAAGATCCGTGATCTCACTGTATGTCTACAAAGGAGAGCATCACGGGTGCTCGTGACTTTAGTCCTTTCCTGTGTACCGCTTGCAGTACACAGTAGTGCAGGAGCCTTGGGTGCGCCAGAGGTGTCCTGTGACCACAGTCACACGGAGGCTGCAATGCTCCTTCAGAAAAGCATTCTACAAATCATGGCAAGTAATCGCTGTTTTCCACAGAGATTCTTCAGGGTTAAGGGACTTCTATAAAACAACTGCTCATTATAGTGTCTACTCTAGATAGAGCAACACCGCTAAATTCCTATAGCAGCTGGTCACATGCCTCCACAGTCAGAAAGCTAAGAGCTGGATGCTGGTGCTCAGTTACTGTCTCCTTTCTATCCAGTCGGGAACCTCAGTGCCCAGAACGATGCTGCCCCAGTTAGCGTGGATCTTTTCACTTCAACTAACCCAGTCTAGAAACTCCCTCGCAGGTGTGCCCTGAGGTTTGCCTCCTGAGTGACTCCAGATCCTGTCAGATTGACAATATCAACCCTTACAAGGGATAAAAGTAGAACTCCTCCAGCGAAAAGACAAGGGTTTATTTCTAAATAAGCTGATAAAAATGAATGTCCCTTCTAGATGAGGCCTGTACAGCATACAGAATTGCACAAATATTAAATGTTTTCTTAGTTGGCTACAGTGATGGGTAATCTTGATTGTCAACTTGACATGCCTGGGATTGACCACTTGCCATGCCTGTGAAGCATTGTCTTGATTGCTAATGTAGGAGGGCCCAGTCCACTATGGGTGGTGCTAACCCTAGGCAGCTAATCCTAGGTGCTAATCCTAAACTATATAAGAAAGATTACTGAGGATGAATCTGGAAGCAAAGCACCATTCGTCCATGGTTTCTGCATCAAGATCTTTCCCTGATTTCCCTCAATGATGGACTTTAACCTGTAAGGTGAAATGAATCCTTTCCTCCCCAGGTTGCTTTTCTGGCTGTGGAGTTTGTCGTAGCAGCAGACAGCAAACTGATACAGCCATAATCGTTCATTAACTGAGTAAATATTTTTCAGATGCTGCTATGTGCTAGGTGCCAAGAATACAAAGATCCTAACCAGGTTTCCACAGGACTCGGCCTAGGAGCCATGCCATACCCAAATAAACACTGTCATTGAAACACTTAGTTACTAAGGATAATCTCGGAGTAGAAATGACGACCCCAAACAAGGAGTGGATCAAACAGTGAATTTGCTGTGCTCTGGGAACTAAGGGCATTGTTTCTCTCTCCTTCCTTCCTTCCTTCCTTCCTTCCTCCCTTCCTTCCTTCCTTCCTTCCCTCCTTCCTTCGTTATTTTTGGTGGTGGAGCTGGGTATGAAATATAAGACCCTGGTGAAGACTCTACCAGAGAGCTACACCCCAGTCCCAACTGGGGAAATTCTTGATTTTTCACTCACAATTGAAGCAAGTCGATTTACGAAGCAAAGCCTCCTTAATCTCTTAATGAACAAAAATTGAGCTCTTAATGGCTTCTCAACATACCAGTACCACTTCCCTTAGGCTAAACCCACATTGAAAACGCTTTATGAACCAGGCACACAAAAGACAGACTTCTAATTTTGGAAATTAAATAGAATTGTTCTCGGGGAGTGGCTTGGCTTTGGATAACTGACACAGCTACAGTCTACCCCTGTGCAATTTGAACTTGTCTGTCTGTTAGCTCATTAAGGGTAGAGCGCTGTAGGGGGGGAGACGGCGGGGGCGGGGGTTGTACCCTTCTATGAATATATTAACTGCAGTGTGACAGGCTAGATAATGGATAGTAGAGCTACAGGATAGGATGAAAAGGTTTGACATATGGACTTGAAGTATGACAGACTTGGATTTGAATTCTGCAATCAAATCGAAATCCTCCTTATGTCCTTATGGGTTGACTGAATAGTTTCTTCTAGCTTCAGACGCTGCCTCCGTAAAATAGGAGCTATTTTTAAATTACTGTGAGAGTTGGGAGTGGTGCTCACACCTGTAATCCCAGCGCTTCTGAGACTGGAGACGAAGGATGACAGTGATCTCCAAGTCAGTCTGGGTCACAGACTGAGACACTGTCTTTGAGAACCAAATAAGGCAGGTGACACGGCTCGTCTCATTGAGTGTTTGCCTGTCGGTCCTAAATTCAGTCCCCAGCATTATGTAAACCTGGCGTAAGAGACCTGTAACCTCAGCGCTCAGGAAGCAGAGGCAGGAGGATCAAGAGTTCATGATCACATTGTGCTGTATAGGGAGTTTGAGGTGAGTTTGGGCTACACAAGACCCTATAAATAAATAATAAATCAATTACTGTAGTGACAGAATAAGAAAATGCAAAGGAACTGCTGTACACATCAAATACTCCTGGGACTGGGACTGCTGTGGTCCGCGTAACCTTTACCACCATTACCGTTGCCACAGGGAGGATGAGGAGGAGGAGGAGGAGGTGATTAATATGTTTGTGTTCTTTGTTCTTGGTGATGGTGTTATTCTGGTGGTCTGAGGGTAGAAATAACACACACTCTTCCTCTAGACACCTCCCAAGGATGGATTCATAATTGCCGACGTTCAGCCCATTCCCGGCAGCTCTGCAGAGGGAAAGCAGTCCCCTTCGTTAGCTTTGAGATCCTCCACTTCCTTAAGAAAGAAGAATAACCCAGGGGAGAAAGAGCTTCCACCGTGGCGGTCGTCCGATAAGCATCCCACTGACATCATCCGCTTTAATTATCTAGACAACTGTGACCCCGAACACCTCTGGCAACGGTGAGACGCTCCGTGCCCCTCCCACCCTATTTGTTTTTCAAAATAATTGATTGACATTTGGGTAGATGGAAGAAAAAGTGATCCCAGAGCTCACTGTTAACTACAGAAACTTTTCAGTGGGTCGGTGTGGACTAAACCACTCTTGACAAATTTGCCCTTTTCACCGCCATCCGTCTACTTCCCATAGCTGTAATGACTTAGCAGTGCAACCTACTTACTATTTTAAATACTATGTGTGCGTGCCACGGCACACGTGTGTGGCGGTCAGAGGACAACTTTCAGAAGTCAGTTCTCTCCTTCCAACAAACTCAGATCATTAGGTGTGTATAGCAAGGACTGCTACCCGCTGAGCCAGCTGGCCAGCCCATTGTTAAATATTTAGAGTTTAATTTAACCATTTGTTTGTGTGCACGTGTTGCATGCGCATGCGTGTGTGTGTGTTGGGAGGAATGCCTGTGGAGGACAGAGGAGGCCTTTGAACTGGAGTCACAGGTGGTTGTGTGCTGTTCAGTATGGATCCTGGGAACTGAACTCCGGTCCTATGAGAAAGCAGGAAGAGCCCTTAGCTGATAAACCATTGCTCCAACCTTAGATGTCTTGTTTTAATATTTTAATATTAGTTTCAAACCAGCATCGTGTGGCTCATCCTAGACTTTTTTTCCTTTTCCTTCTTATGCTTCCTTCCTTTACCAGTGAATAAGCAAACAACAGGAGGGAAGGCCAAACTTTGACCGCCACCCTCTCATACAGAGCGTGAGGCAGTAAGACAGCCACTTTTCCCTACCAAGCTAAGTAGGGATGGACTTGTAAAAGATCAGACCAAGTCTGAGGCAGCCTGAGCTAAGTAATGAGACCCTGTCTCAAAATTGAAATGGCAGTTGAGATATTAATGATACACACCTGTAATCATAGCACCGAGGAAGCTAAGGCAAGAAGATAGCACATTATGGATAGCCTGGGCTACATAGAGGTATCCTGTCCTAAAATCAAACAAACAAACAAACCAAAAAAAACCCTCAAACCAAAACCTGTAGTATAATGAAGTAGAAAGTTAAGTTATATGTAGTAAAATATGACCAGTTATTGAAATGAGATGGAGACTGTGTGGTTTATCACTATGCTGCGAATCTCTCAACTTTCCTGCCTTTTGTTTGTGGAGATAGAGTCTCCTTTCATAGCCCAGGCTTGCCTTGCACCTGTGTTCCTCTTGCCTCAGAACCCTGAGTGCTGGGATTGTAAGTGTGTGCCACAGTGCCTGGTACATTTGAAATTTCTGTATATCGAGGCTCTCCTTCAAATTGTAATTTGATGGCTATTCATTTTTTCCACATGTGGCCAGGCTGTATGGTATGTCACTACTAACAAAGCCAGTTTAAGCCAGTTTTAGGATTAAACATTGTCGGGAAGTTACCTTCTAGTCCTGCACCTGAAACAGAATGAATGAGGAATGCAACTGGGCATCAGGGTCCATGGGATGTAGCTCGTCTGGGGGCACACACAGTATTGCAAGCATGTGTTAAAGTCTCTGAGGTCTTAGATTCTGGCTTCAAAAAAAAAAAATCTGTATTAAAGCCAGGTTTGGTGGCGCATGCCTTTAACCCCAGCACTCAGGAGGTAGAGGCAGAAGGATCTCTGTGAGTTCAAGGCCAGCCTGGTCTACAAGAACTAGTTCCAGGACAGGTAAGGCTACACAGAGTCTCTGTACTGAGGAAAGGAGGTGGGAGAAAGTTCTAGAATAACCAAATGCAGCTTGATTCTCAAGGGGGTTCTAGTTAAAAGGGCAGATGGGAGAGAGGGAGACAAAAGGAAGGGAGAGAAGGAGGGAGGAAGGATAGGAGGAAGAGAGGGAGGGAGGGAGGGAGGGAAAAAAGAAATCCTTGGAACAACTGCAGACATCTGAATACAGACCATGTGCTAAATGATATTAAATAATGTTTATTTCCTATGACAGTGGTGCTAGTGTGGCTGGGTAGACGAGTGTCTTCGTCTTAGGAGATGAGTGTTGAAGTACTAGGAGGAGGGGGTGTCATTTCTGCAACTAATCAAGTCACCACCACCACAAAACCCAGCTATATACATGTGGAAGGTGCAGTGAAGCAAGCGCAGCCAAGTGCCACCAACATCTGTTTAAGGCTGAGACCGATGCCCTATTCTCTAGCTCTTCTGTCTGTTTGAAACTCCTCAGTTAAAACTTGAGCGAGGTCTTGGAAATGAAGTGGCAAGTAATATCTGGGCAGGTGCATTCTTTTTAAATAAAAAGTTTTTATGACAAGTATTCAAATATAAATAGATAGATACAGAGATGCATAGATAGATACATGGATAGATAATCAAATTACCCTTTTGTGGCTATCTTCAGTTATTAACAGTTTTTAACCCATAGCCAATCTGGAGTCCTTAATTCCTTACCTACTCTGCCCCTCTCCTATATGATGATGCTGATGATTAAACCAGGGTCTACTATGAAGCCCAAGCTAGTTTCAAATTCCCAATCCTCCTGCCTCAGTCTTCCCAATGCTGGAACCACAAGCACTCATCACCATGTCTGCATACCCTAAATAATTTTTAAATAAATAATGTTATGTTATTCCATATAGTGTAACATAAGGGCCAGCTTGTTGGGGTTTCTGTCCCACCCGGTACCCCACAGCCAGCAAGTTCCAAAGAAAATCACATGGAGTCTACATTAGGTTATAAACTGATTGGCCCATTAGGTCAGGCTACTTATTAGCTCTTATAACTTATGTTACCCCCATTATTCTTATCTACGTTAGCCACATGGCTCAGTACCTTTTCCAGCGGGGCAGCTTACATCTTTCCTCTCCGGTGGTCTGGGCAGAACTGGAGGAAAGCACTTCCTTCTTCCTAGCCTTCTCCTATTCTCATTGCCCCGCCTCTACTTCCTGTCTGGTTGACTCTCCTATACTTCCTGCCTGGCCAATCAGCGTTTTATTAAAATACATGATTGACAGAATACAGATAATTCTCCCGCACCAATGTAGGACTTACTTCATATGTCATACCTATACTTCTGTTTTCTTTCTTCTTCCTCTCTCTCTCTCTCTTTCTCTCTCTTTTCTTTTTTTTTCTTTGTTTGGTTTTTAGTTTTTCCAAAGTTTCTCTGTGCAACAACCCTGGCTGTCCTGGAAATCACTCCGTAGACCAGGCTGGCCTCGAACTCACAGAGATCCACGGGCCTCTGCCTCCTGAGTGCTGGGATTAAAGGCTTGTGCCACCATGCCCGACTCTATCTGTATTCTTAAAACATAAAGACCCTTTGTAAAAACCATAACCTGACACCATCTTTATCTAACTCAAGAAATATCTCCTTAATCCAGTTAAGGGTCATCAACATTCAGCATTCCTCGAATGTCACACAGATGTTTGACTTTTTAATGAATGCTTTGTTTAATAAGGTTCCAGATATGGTCTAAAATATGTATTGTATTTGACCCGCCTGTCCATTCTTGCCCTGAATTTTAAGTTAACCTTCTGTTCCGCCTCCTCCTCTTCGGTTGTTCCTCCCCATCCTGCTCTCCCTCCTCCTCCTTGCCCACCCCCACCCCTTGCAGTTTGCTGTAGGAATCGGGCCATTTGTCATGCTCCTCACATTCTGGAGTGCCCGCCACATGCATCTTCTCAGTCCCCTGTCCTCTGTTCCTCCGTCCCTGGCCACACTGATAGTCAGAATCAGGAGCTCTAGAATATATTTACAAAGACATGCACCTTCATTTCTGTTCCCTTCTGTGTTGTTGGTAACCATGGAAGCGCATTACCTTCCCACTATTTCAGGCAAACATGGGTATTCTAGAAAGGGCCAGAAGGGAACTATTTTAGACTCTGTAGGACATAAGTTCCGTGGCACAACTGCTCAGCCCTGCTAGCATAGCCTGAAAACTCACCTAGACATTCCCCCTACACACACACACACACACACACACACACACACACACACACACACAATTTCTAATACAAGTCTATGAGCAACAGTAGGCAACAGGCTGGACTTTGCTGTGCCACAGATTGATGGCCTCTACCTTCCCCTAGCATGTGTGGTAGCAAACACGTGTTAATACTAACACATGATTACTGAAAATAGCTTCAGATTTCCTGGTTTGTGCTTTTATCTTTGGCAGACACCCTACTAAGAATATTCAGACAGGCTGGGCATGGTGGTGTACATCTTTACTCCCAGCTCTCAGGAGGCGGAGGGGCAAAGGCAATCTCTGTGAGTTTGAAGTCAGTGTGGTTTAAATAATTAGTTCCAGGCCAACCAGGACTATATAAATAGACCCTGTCTTAAAAAGAAAGAAAGGAAGGGAGGCAGGAAGAAAAGAAAGGCTGTTCAGATAAATCTCAGCATTAACGGCACAGGAAAAACTGCTTTGTGTGCGGCGGTGCCACCAGCTTCATAGACAAGATCAAACTTGTTTCGTTTTGCTTTTTGTTATTTCCTCTCTTTCATCTTAGCTTATGCTCTGGAGAACATTTTAGATGGTTCCAAAATCAAGTATACAAAATAAAGTTATGTTTGGGGGAGTCTAGCTTTTGCCCCTCTGTCTCCATATCGTTTCCGGGGGGGTTCATCTGGGAATCCCACCTATGGATACCAGTTTTTCAAATTTTTGTATCATTCTTCCATTTTAAAAAGTTCAAAAAGCTGGATGTTGTGGTGCTTGCCCGTGATCCCAAAGCTTAGGAGGCAGAGGCAGGATGATCAGCCAGAGGTTTTGTGTAACATGGCTCTGTTAATAAGGGTCGGCTTATTGGGGGTATCTGTCCCACCCAGTACCCCACAACCGGCAAGCCCCAAAGAAAATCACACACAGGACTCCATAAGATTTTAAAACTGATTGGCCCATTAGCTCAAGCTTCTTATAAGCTCTTATAACACATATTACCCCATTATCCTTATCTACATTAACCACATGGCTCAGTACCTTTTCTAGCTCGGCAGCTCACATGTTGCTTCTTCAGTGATCTGGGCAGGAATGGCGGAGGGAGCTTCCTGCTTCCCAGAATTCTCCTGTTCTCATTGTATCACCTCCACTTCCTGTCTTATTTTCCCACCTATACTTCCTGCCTGGCCAATCAGCATTTATTTAAAATATGATTGACAGATTACAGACAATTCTCCTGCACCAGTTTTTTTTTTTTTTTGGTTTTTTGGCTTTTTGAAACAAAGTTTCTCTGGAGCTTTTGGGAGCCTGTCCTGGAACTAGCTCTCGCAGACCAGGATGGCTTCGAACTCACAGAGATCCGCCTGCTTCTGCCTCCCAAGTGCTGGGATTAAAGGCATGCGCCACGATAGCCCGGCTTCAGCCTGAGTTTTGAGGCAACCAGGTCTACACAGCAAGTTTCAGGAGCAGTCAGTAAGTATAGTAAGATCCTGCCTCAAAAATAATAACATAATAGCTAAAATGTACAAACAAAAGTAATAATAAAATTTAACAAATAGAAAGTACAGGGGTTGTTGTTCTTGCAGAGGACCTGAGTTCAGTTCCCAGCCCCGGACATGGTAGATCATAACTGCCTGTAACTTTAGTTCCAGGGGATCTGACGCCCTCTTCTGGCCTCACAAGCACTGCTTATACATACATCTAGGCAAAACACATACACATAAAATAAAAATAATGTTTTAAAAAGTGCTGGCGAACAGTAGGCATGTTATGTTTTCAGCTGTCTCCTTCTGAGATAAATGGCAGCATACAATATCTTTGCCTCTCTTTACCTGGTTTTCTTCTTCGTGTGTCACTGTATCCCGAGGCTCACCCTACAGTTTTCTATAGAAATAGTCTGCCTTCCTTTTCATCGCCCATAGCGCTCCATTGTGTTCCTGTGCCAGGGCTGATTGACCCAGCTCTCGATAGACAGACAGCTGACTCATTTCCAATGGTGTACAGGCAGTCTTTAAATCACAGGGCATCAGAAGTCAGACGGAAAAAAAAAATAGCTCTGTGAGCTGCTGAAGACTCCAAATGATCGGTTCTAATTTTCCCATCACTTGCAATTTTGCAGAAGAAGAAAAAGAAACGAAGTGACCCCAGACTTCAAGCGGCAGTTTCGAGATAAGAAAAACAAGCTTGAGGCCGGTGTCAGGCTCAGGAAAGCACGGTCGCTGGTGAGTCGTCTGCTTCTGAATCTCTCCCCCTATCACTGATGGAAATTACCCTGCTCCCTAATCCTATTTGCGAAATTGAATTTGTTTGCTAAATCAGAATCGTCAAGTGGTTGTTTAAACCCTGGTCTCTGGGGCTAGAGGTGTAGCTCCGTTGCTAGAGCGATTGGCAGCGCGCACCAAGTCCTGGCTCCCATCCCCGGCACAGAGGAAAGCTCACCGTGGTGCACGCCTGGAACCACAGCTCTTGGGAGGTAGAGGTGGAAGGATTAGAAGTTCCGAGTCATGTTTTGCTGCACAGCAAGCTCAAAGCCAGCCTGGGCTAAATAAATAAATAAGTGGCTAAAGCGACTAAAAAAAAATCTGAATTAAGAATTTTTCAGTTAAAAGGCAGTTAATCAGCAACATAATAATGGCAGTAATTGTGACTAGGGAACACAATTAATTTGTAGCAGACTTCCCCAGATTGTGATTTGGGCCACAGGGGATCCCTTTTTATCACATTATGAGAGGTTTTGGAGCAAAGTAGGAAGGAATGTGGGTGGAATTAAAAGTGCATGTAATGTAATGAGAATTGAAAGAGAAGCTGAGGACACGCTCCAGGAAAATTAATAGAGAATGGATATCACTTGGCGGGATAATCTGCATCCTCTCGGGAGTAAATCTCTTCCTCAGGTCTGCTTGAGAACCTGTTACTTTCTGCTGAAATGTACTTTCAAGTGTTATATTAAACACACACACACACACACACACACACACAAGAGACTGAGAGAAAGCTTCTTAAAATAGACCTTCCTGTGTGCTAGAGACCAGTTCTACTGCACTGGGGGAGGCTCCGTGTAGACATGCACAGCCTATGAAGCTTGGACCAAAGCTGTAGAGCTGTCCATGAGTCTGCTGACTGAAAAGATAGATAGATAGATAGATAGATAGATAGATAGATAGATAGATAGATAGACAGACAGAAAAAGAGAAAAAGAGAGATAGATAGACAGACAGAGACATAGATAGACAGACAGACAGATAGACTGACAGAGACATAGATAGATGATAGATAGATAGATAGATAGATAGATAGATAGATAGATAGATAGAC